GCCGCCCGGTGAAGCGGAACCACGCCAGGTACCGCCGCATCCAAACTTTGATCTACGACGCCCTGGAACGACCCCGCGGCTGGGCGCTGCTCTATCACGCCTTCGTGTGAGTACGCGGTGCTCCCCGGGGGGATGCCGGGGGCTGCCCCGGGGGGATGCGCCCGGGGACACCGTTTTGCTTTATCATTCTCTGCGTAAGGCGCTCCAGGGGCTCGCTCCGGCACGGGTGTGTGTGGGAGCAAGGGTCTGATACGAGGTGTGCTGCTGAGCGGCTTTATTTCTTTCTTTTCTGTCGTCGGGTTTTCCAAAAAGAGCAGCTGCTTTTTAAGTCTGAGTTCCTGTCTTGTCCGTACCCCCACGTTGCCTTGGAGTGGCATTCCCGAGCCTCTGTGTCTGAGACGCTGGAAAAGGGATGCCAGAAAGACCAAGCTCTGAGCGGTTTTAAGGCTCGAAGTGCTTCAGGGGAACGCGGCCAGTTCAGCTCAGCCCAGAGCACCGCGTGTGGTTCAACTCACTGTTATAAACCCCGAGCGAACCGACGCCTTCAATAGTTGAAAGTGTCAAATGAAAACCATCGGGTTTTGGTCCGATAAGCATCACCTCGCAGTGCATGAAACCTGAGCGTTGCAGCGCTGTCAGGTAGAAAGTTACACTGACCACAAGTGAACTGAGAGGAAACAAACTCGTTTTGTGACATTCACAAGTCAAGTGAATGGCGAACGGTTTGCACTCCTAAAAATTCTGTACCTTTAAGTTTTCATAGGAAAAAATAATTCTGTGTACAGCATAGAATGGAGTTGGTAGAGTCCTCTTAAAATAAATGTGAGGTTTAATGTTGTGAATGTGTTTGAAAACCCAAGGGATTATCAGTGATCACGGTGGTACTGTTTTTCTTTGATGCTGTTAGGTGTGCAGAGCTCTATGTGACAGAGGATTTAAGCAGTGATTTCTTAAACTGGTTTACTTGGCAAAGTCAAACAGAGCTCTCTAGGCTGCACGGGCTGTAGCCTAGAGCTGGATCTTGGGAAGTCCTAATCGTTGGCATAGTCTTTGCACCTGCAAATAAACACCTTGAGTGTAGGGCTGTGATTTTTACCTTCAGGCAAATTTTTCATGATGTTGGCAAGGATTTAGCCCTGGACAAAAATTAAAATGAAATGTTCACTACTGGTGTGCTTCTGCATGCCACTCACTCATTGCTGCTCCCCCCTTTTCAGTGTTTATTTATAAAGTACATCTTGGGACACAGGTCCTATTTTCTAGATTAATTTCTATGAATATGCGGATACTGGGTGCTGTGACACTTTTTCAGTTCTGTCGCTCCTTTTTGCCACAGGAAAACTCCTGCTGGCAGGCAGGGAGCGACAGCACTTGGAGTGTGTTACGCTGGGAAGGCTCTTTGGTCCAGAGCTTGCTGTTCAGGCGTGCTCAGTATTGCATAATGCTGCTTCTTGCTGGGGGGAGCCATGTCTGGATGGAGGGGCACCCCTTTCATCCCGCCTTGGTCAACCCACACACACACTGCATCAGTGAGGATTTGGCACATGGCAGAGCACTGTGAGCAGTTGGCATTCCTCTGTGGCAACTGGGTCAAATCTGTGCCCAGGCTTGTGTCTGGATATAGGCAATAGGACAGTGGATATGTGTGGAGGGGCTCAGGTGAGCTGAGAGATTCACGTTTATTTGCAGCGGTATAAGAATTTCCAAGTTACAACGTTTATTTTAGGTAGCTCTCCACATGTGTGGTTGACCTTAAGATCCTTATGCAATATGATTCACAGAACAGGAAAAAAATCAGGATATTTGGATGGTTCAATCCTTCTTAGAAGTGGACCTGACACTGTGTGGTCAACTTCCCTTTGGTGACTACTCAGTCCTGCAAAACTGAAATGTGAGTCTGACCTGCTCTCACAGAAGTCAATAACAGCTTTGTTAAAATCATTGATGCCAAGTTTAATATTAATGAAAATGAAACAAAACACTTTTAGAAGTCCTTATCCTTAAAGGAAGTAAAACACAGAAGTCTGTCAGCTGAGCACAAACACCCTGTCTCTTCCCAGGACACCCCAGGGGGCTCAGCAGTCCAAGTTGGCCCCACTGGGTTTCTGTTCAGTCTCAGCTCCTTCTGAACTCAGTTGAAGTTGTGCAGTCTCACCTCAGTGTAGGATCAAACCCTACAAAAAGGAATCTGGTGAGAGTGATGGCAGAGTGTGCTGAGATCTTGCTGGCAGACTTCAGAGCTTGTTCCTGCCACTGAAGAATGAAGACCTGCTCGAGAGCAGAAGTGCTGTGGGAAACAGCATCTAAGTTGGTATCCATAGTCTTTGTTCTTGCTTTCAAATGAATTGTCTTTTAACCTTTTTTCCTTCTCTAAAGGAGTCCCTCTCGTGTTGGAGGTGCTGCTGTGACAATGTGTAGTACCATCCCAGCAGTCCCCCAGTGATACTTTTCACACTAGAACGGTTTACACTTTTCCTTGGGAAGGCAAGAGATTGCCTATCTTTCCATAAAATAGACAAATTTGATCCTGTGTTACTCTTTAGTAAAAGTCCCATTTTTCTTATCTTAGTGGCATGTTACACTTTGTCTCATCTTCTGAGTAACTGCAATAAATGCCATGCACTCAAAACTACCAGTAAGATGGTTGCTCTCATATACAAATAACCAGACAATAAACAGCTGAGAGCCAAAAGGGATTGCAGCATGGATGGATGTGATTAATTCCTTATAGATCCAAGCATTCAGAGATATTTAATGAAAAAATTATACAAAGGACTCCAGTGCTGTGTATATCCCAGGGTTTGGGAAGCTGCTGATGGAAGAGGGTTGCAACCTTCAGGACATGCCAAGGATGTTGTGTGGGGCTCAGGAAGGGGCTTTGCCAAGGTCTTTGTTAAAGCTTCGGGTGCTAGAACTTTTAAAAGGATGGTACAGATGGGATCTTGTTAAATCATCGAGCGATGCACATATGGCTGCAAAGGGGTCATGATCCCCTGTGTATCTCACTCCTATAATGTGCACATAAATAAGACTTGAGCAGTGCCTGTTGTAAACTCTTGCTTTAGTTCAGGTGGTGTTAGATCTACTGAAATGATTCAGTCTATTGACATAATTCAAGGAGAATGCATGAACGTGATCAGGCCCCACCAAGCCCTAGGGACAAAGATGCAGGGGAGAAAGGGAAAGGTTCCTGATGGCAACTTTAACATTCAGCTTTCACTGGCAGTGATTTACAGAAAGTAGCATGAGATACTTTCTCCGTAATTCTTCCTTCTTTCTTGTTCTGCAAAAGTGAGTTTGTCCAAGCCTATCCTTGGGGAGTCGTTCCCTAAAGAAGCTGACTCTGTTTCCTTTCCTATCTGAAAACATTTATTCTCTGGCAGCTCTACTGGACAGGAGATTTATGTATCACCCATGAAGTTCCGCTTTGCTGGGACACCAGCGTTGATGGACTTCTTGGCAATATGGCAATGTCTTAGTGGCATAGTTGGTAAGAGAAATTTGTTTTTCCTAAGAAGAATTTCACCTCTGTAAGGCTAAACTCCTCCTGAACATTTTCAATAAAATGAAATAAAATAAAAAAAATAAATCTCTTTTAACCTTTGAGGTATTTAATTTGGACATGTCTCTTGGGGGTTGCAGGTCAGGCTACAGTCTATCCCTGCTCTTTCCTGAGCTCCTGTTGCTGTAGGAATAACTGATGTTCCCATGAAGTACTGTATGTCCCTTTGTGTTAGGCAGCACAATATATTGTAGGAAACCCCTGCGGTTGTGCCTCGTGGGATGTGTACTTTGGACAGGGAGACAGACTCAAGACCTGTCCACCTTCACAAACCATCCAAATGCTTTATTTATGCACTGAAACATTAATGAATAGAATGAAGAATTGAAAATAAGTAAGATTTTGATTTTTCCAGTTTATTTTTAATTGTAAGCACAAAGTATTTGTTGGATAATGAACAGAGTCCAGAAAGATAACATAATACAGATCAAGTTGGGAGTTGCAATTTGTGAAAAATTTTCAATCTGACAAAGAAAATAGAGGCTGAAGGAGAGGTATCTAGGATATATTCTCGTTTTCATACCATCTTCTGAGACAACTGCAGCCTTTACTTTCACAGAAAAATAAGACCAGGAAAAGGTTTGGGATTAGATTTTTCTTTTTGGGAAAGTGTGCAATATCAGCTGCACTCTGCTGGTGCAGATCACCATGTGTACCTGCTGATGAGAGGGGGAAACCATGGGGAACATGAGAGAACCCTTCTCTGTCTGCCATTTAATCTTCTTTCAGTACTGCTTAATACCTGGAATAAAAAGAGGAGGCAGAGTCATGCGACCCATCAAATCATCAGCATTTCTGGGAAGCACCAGCGAGCACCTCCTGCATGACTGATCGTAGGTGTGTTGTTTGCAGAGAAGAGTGTCATGGGACTTGGGGAACAGGTTGAAGGTTTGGGGGCTTTCCATTATTTTCTTCTTCCCCCTTTGGGAGATGCTCTTTAAGACGTGCTCACCCACCTCCAGCCTGTGTGTGACATTTGGGGTGAGATGGGAACAGGTTTAGAATAAAAAGAAAGACAAATAGGAATCCTTCCTTGGCCTGTTTGGCAAGGACTTGTATCTAAGTGAGTCCCTGGAGCAGCAGAGCGAGCCTGGTCCATTACTGAGTGCCCTTTGCTTATGTGTTTGCCAGTTTGAGTTCTGTTTTAATTATTTATGCTAATTCATCATAATGCACAGATAAATATTCTGCAGTATACTTTGTAAAAAATAATGAAGTCTTAGTCATTGGAGACCTTACCACGCACCTCTGCTGTTGCAGCTCCAGACTTGCAGAGCTGCCCTGTGTTTGTGTGTGGTTTAAGGAGATGGGACTGTGCCTCAGTCACTGGGATCAGCCAACATGACAGGCTGTGGTCACCAGGGGTTTGTTGGGAGGAATGAGAAGGGGCATCAGAGCCTGGGGAAACCACTGTCTGGGTAATGTGAGTGGCTTGTGATTCCCAGCCATAGCTTTGGAGTCACTTCAGCAGCTTGCAGGTGCCCAACGCTTGTTTAAGCATCCAAACTACCTCTGAAATTACAGACCTTTGGTGAGAATAGGTG